TATATATATATATATATATTTCAGAAAGTTACATTAGCTTTGACTGCATAAACATGTTTTGTTTATATATATATATATATATATATATATATATATATATATAAATTTTAGAAAATTATATTAACTTTGATTAGAATAACAGTGACTGCAACACTTAAAGGAATTTTGGCTTTCTAAAAGATTAAGTTGGTGAATAAAAATTGTAACAAACTGGTACAAACTGGTTGGATTCGTTAAATTGGTGTTATGGCTGTTAGTTGCAGTTAAAACTGTTGGTTCGTGTTTTAAGAAATACAAGTAGTAGTACTTAAGTTGATTCAATCCAAGCGTTCTATGTGGTTTACACTACAATTAACCACTAATTTACATCTTCTTTGTTAACTAGAATAACCATTCATATTTATATTAATATGAACTCTAGGGAGGGAGATGGAGAGGGCAGTCTAGGGTCAATAATGGGAGGTTGACTTGGGATGTGCAGTTCCGTAGAGAGTTCCACGATTGGGAACTTTTGGAGGTTACAGACTTCCTAGCCTTAATTTATTGCCAGGTGGAGTTCAGGGTGGGCATGGACGAGATGGTGTGGGTGGGTACCACGAAAAGGGTGTTTGAGGTTAGGTCTTTCTACTACAGTATCGGGAGCTTCCTGGCCCCGCTTTCCCTTGACAAGCTATTTGGAGGACGAAAGCTCCCCTAAAGGTGGCTTTCATCTCGTGGACTCCTCCTCTGGGGAGTATCTTTAATCTCGACAATCTTTAAAGGAGACGTCAAATTGTGTTTAACTGGTGCTGCATGTGTAAGAAGTTGGGTGAATCTGTGAACCTTTCTCCTTCATTGCTCGGTGGCGAGGGATGTTTGGTTTATGTTTTTGTCTGCTTTTGGTCTTCTATGGGTTTTCTAGAATCCACAGTGGACATGTTAGAGACTTGGAAAGGGTGTACAATAGAGAGCTGAGTCAGAGATGCTTGGAGGGCTACTCCCTTTGTATTTGGTGGGGTTTGTGGCGCTAGAGGAATAGGATATCCTTTGAGGGAGAGGAGTCTCCTATTTGGTCTCTTAAATACAATATTTTATCTTCTTTATTCTTTTGGGTCACTGGGCGGGATAGTAATTCTATGAATTGTCTTTTGGATTTTGTTGATAGCTTAAAGTTATAGTGTCATTCTGGACGGCCTCTGTTTCCTTTTGGACCGCTCCCCTTTTGAGCTCCTTTAATCAAATCGTACTTATCAAAAAAAAAAATATATATATTTATATTAATTTAGTTATAAAAACAAAGTATTCGAACAAGGGAGGCGATATTCACACCCCCCTTTTGTATGACTACACTCCAATCATAAAGAAAATGACAACTCTAACCCTAACTTTACATATTAATAATTATTTTTTCTTCAAATACTATAGCTACCCGTTTTAGTTAAGGTATGATCTTTTCGTCTTCCCTTTTTCCCCAATTAACGTTTTTGGTATCTTCCATTTTTTTTTTTTTTTTGTTAGTCCCTCCTTTTCTCTTGCTTCCAACCTCTCTCTCAACTCCTCTACTTTGTGTTAACCTTCCCTTCTCTCTCTCATTAGGTGTTTGATAATGAACTTTTTAAGTAACAATGAAAGATCTCACAAATGAAGAAATAAGAGAGTTGAATGAATTAATTGATCTTGTTAGCATGGGAAACATTGAATAACTATTAAAACATCATGAGCCATTGAATTCCTTTGATGCTAATGGTGATGGGAATGATAATTTTTTCTTCTTCTATTTTTTTTTATTTTAATTTTTTTTTTCCTGTTTTATACTTTGAGTTCCGTTTGGAATTTTTTTTCTTTTCTGATGTGATGTTTAAGAATTAACTTGGCTGGTGATGGGAATGGTATTTTTTTTTTCTTTTCTATTTTATGCTTTGAGTTTAGTTTGGATTCCATATTCACATGGGCGCTTTGAGGTTCGGTCATTTTATCGTTGTTTGGTGGATGCTCTTGGATTATCATTTCCATGGAGGGCCGTTTGGCGAACAAAAGCGCCTCTCAGAGTAGCTTTTTTTATATGGACATCTCTGTTTTGGGAAAGATCTTGACCCAAGACAACCTACAAAGAAGAAGACAGATCGTAGTGAATTGGTGTTGCATGTGCAAAAATGGCAAGGAAACGGTTGATCATCTTCTTTTAAATTGCCTAGTGGCCCGAGATTGCTGGCTTATGTTTTTGGGTTTGTTTGGGATTCATTGGGTTATGCCTCGGTCTACCAGAGGCTTGGAGAGGCTGTATAGTGGGGGCCTAAGCTCGTGACTCTCACTCCTTTGTGTCTATTTGTTGGGTTCTAGGAAGAAATTGTAAATCCTTGGATGAGCTTGTAGAGTTTTTGGATCTGATGAGGGTTTAGAGGCCCTATTTGGCCTTCTTTTGTTTTCGAAGGACGCGTTCCCCTTTTGAACGCCTTTTTATAAATTTTCAGTTATTAATTTATTTATTTGTAGTCTTAATAACTTTGCTGTAGCCAAAACTTGAATTATAATGCAACAAGTCAATGAGACGAAAATAGCAGGTACAAAAATGGTCTTAATTCTTCAGAATTCTAGGTATCTAAACTTTGAACTCCTTGGAGTAAACAATCTCAAGAAATCATGTTATATTTGTTACACACAGATTGTATGTGTCTCGTCATGTAGTGTTCCTCGAGCACATTCCTTTCTTCATTGTTCATACTATTTCTAACACTTTGAGTAAGTCTGATCTTCTTTACATTGATCCCTTTTCTGATGACATTTCCAGTACTCTTCTAGATGCTCCGTCTTCCTCTGTTCCCTTTTCTGACGACATTTCCAGTACTCTTCTAGATGTTTCTCCTTCCTTTGTTCCTACATCCACTTTTGTTGTCCCTCCTCCTATTATTTACACTTACAATCGTAGGAATACAACTATTTCTTATGCAGGTACATTTCCACCTCTCTCGGCTGGTTCTTCATTGGATTCTGATAATGTGGATGTTGTACAGTATAGTATGAGCTGTCACACATGTATTATTAGCTGTCACACTCACATGTGCACAGCTAGATTACATTGTATACTAGGATTTACTAGATTTTTATGCATTCTGTAGCCGCCTTCACCTACCCCTCATTACTATGTGTAGCATTACTATGTATAGGGTTTGCTTGTTTTCCACTTACTTACTCCTGTAGCTTATCCTATATAAACCCCATTGTATCATTAACTCAATAATATATACGTTTTCATATATTCTCTCTTTCAACGGTGGATATTGCACCTCACCGCTATCCTTTGCGAGTTTAGAAATGTTTTGGCCATTTGGTTTTTCTAATTCTTGTTATTTTGCTAATTTCTGCCCCATTTTGGCATCTATTCATTCGCTTTCTGAACCTATCTCCTATAAGGAGGCTGTTCTTGATCCTCATTGGCATCAAGCTATAGAGGAGCTTTTTTCTTTGCTTAAAATTGGTACATGGGGTTTGGTACACGAATAATATGAAGTTTTAGTGTCGCCATGGACGACTCCTTCCCTTCGAACATTCTGCTATTCCTCTCATTCCAAATGCACCACCAAACGCAATGTGGAATTGTCCTCCAATAGTCGCGTACGCTGCTCCTCACGTAGCATCCCCTCCACGCGTTAATTAGACCCTTAGAAGATCGAGGCATTACCCAAAGCATACCAAATATGCCAAATATAAGATTCCAACAGTCGTACGCCACGGGACAATGCAGGAGGATATGATCCGCAGACTCACCATCTCGTTTGCAAAGGCAGCACCAATTAACAATAGTGTTGCCTCTCTTCCTCAAGTTGTGAAGCGTTAAAATCTTGCCCCATACGACAGTCCATACAGAGAATGCCACTCTAAGCGGAGCCTTAAAGCACCATATGGTCTTCCATGGAAAATCAAGGCCAACAAAGTTGGATAGGCATAGAAACATGGACCGGACATCGAATCTACCATGGGTAGAGGGGACCCACAAAAGATCACCATTACCTCTGCTAATTGCCTCTTGTTGATACAACATATCTAGAAGAACACATACCTCATCCATCTCCCAATCTTGAAAAGAATGCCTAAAATGCACGTCCCACCTAATCCCACTACTATCAAATCAAGAGTAAAGTACAAGAAGAAGAAGAAAAAGAGAAGAAAGAGGAGTAGAGAAAAAGAGAGAGATGGGGAAAGAGAGAAAAAATGAAAATAATATTTTCATCCTTCCACCACGTTCTGTTTATTCTAACAAGTTTCAAAAATTACACACAAGCACCCAACATTATATAAGTAATACTCCCTCCGTCCCAAAATAGGTGTCCACATTGGTATCTGTTTGTGAGTCACATATACCAATGTGGACATGTATTACACATGTAGTTGGTTGTTAAGTCTAATGGTTCCATACAGCGATATAAGCCTTCTTTGGTTGCAAGGGGATTCACATAAGAGTATGATATTGATTATGATTGAGACTTTTGCTCCTGTTGCTAATATGACAACTTTTCGCACATTGATTGCTGTCGCAACAGTTTGTGAATGGGACCTTTCACAGATGGATGCTAAAAATGCCTTCCTAAATGGGCATTTGGCTTAGGAAGTTTATATTCAACTCTTTTTCTTTGTTTTACTTCAGCTAGTCGCATTATTCTCCTCTTATATGTTGATGACATGACTCTTGACGGGTGATGACACAACTGGCATTACACTTTTGAAGTCACAATTTTAGCAACAATTTGAAATAAAGGATCTTGGTTCACTTCTCTACTTTATTGGCATTGAAGTAGCCTCTCCTCTTAAGGAAATTGATGTTTGTCTATCATTCTGCTGTTTCACTGATGTCAATATTATCTTGTATGACTTGGATGAATTTTACATTAATGATAGCTGCAGCAACCTTGTAAAAATTCTTGCATTATTGCAGTCCTAATAATACTAAATTAAAAGCTGTAGTCCCAAATTGTTAGCTTTCCAAAATGCAGCAGACAAACCTGATATCTTTTGTGCATGTGTAGGTTCCGGTAGCTCCTTTGCAAAGGGGTGATGGTCCTCCATCTTTCAATCAAATGTGGCAGAATGAATCCCATGGTGCTGTTGATCTTTCTCCTGAGCGAATACCTACTTTGATAACATGGAACTATGGTGGGAATGACGTAGCTGTTGAAGGCTCTTGGGACAACTGGACAAGGTAAGTTCTACCCGTCTTCATTTAATTGATTTTAGCAAAAGTCAAGATTCCATTATATAGAAAATTAATACAGTTAATTGATGTCTTCTACTTGCAGGAAGGCACTGCAAAAATCAGGTAAGGATTACTCCATTCTTTTGGTACTGCCATTGGGCATATACCATTACAAGTTCATCGTGGATGGTGAATGGAGATATATTCCAGATCTTCCTTTCGTTGCTGATGAAATGGGCCGTGTTTGTAACCTTCTTGATGTCCATGTAAGTGTAATTATCACCTTGCAACCCATCCAAAATATGCTGTAAAATGGATTACAGGCATGAAACATCAGGCATAAGGCACTCTAGTTGATACGTATTAGGAGCTTGCATGGATATGTAGAGAAATTTTTGCTTTAAAGACAGATGAGTTACTGCTATTTTGAAATATGTAATTTCCTAAATCTGAAGCATCTGCTCTGTAGAATAACATTCTTGTATTTCATAGTTTTCCCTTTTATTTTCTAATGCTATGTTTGGTTGGAGGGATGGATGAGAGGGAGGATACATCCCTCCTTCCTTTGTAATTTTCTATCCGCCCAAAACTGGGGGGAAGAGGAGAGAGAAAATAAGATAATAACCAACAAGTCTTTAATATCTATTTTTAACCTTATTGTTGCATAATTTTGAATGGATATTTTTTTTATAATTTCATATAATGAGGGTATATTAGTAAAAACAATATAAAAAACTCTCTTTCCTTCCTTCCAACCAAACAAAAAAAATATGTCACCACATCCATCCCTTCTACTATCTATTCCATCCAGCCAAACAAAAAATGAGGGAGACACCTTCCCTTCCCTAGGGATGCCTCATCCATCCCTTCCCCTTTCCCTTCCATCCACTTTTCTATCCCTCCAACCAAACAAATCATAAGTCTTTGTTGAAAATCAGTTTTGTGGCTGGATTGCTGGTACATTTAGGTTCACCTATGAATGCATATTCCTATGGGCTTTCCCACAACTGAGATAAGAGAATAACAGACAAATTAAAGGAAAATCTAATCGAACAATTATTGGTCAGCTATTTTATAATGACCAAAGAATCCCAGCAGTGGACATGTGGAGTCGCACCTATTTGTGACAAGATAAGGGAAAATAGACTTTGGTGGTATGGACATATCCAAAGAGGATCTATAGATGCTGTCCAGTCAGGAGTAGAGGCAAAGAGCGTGACCAGAGTTAACATGGAATGAAATGATTTAAAAAAAGTTAAATATTATAGGAGAGATGGCTTGTAATATAAAAGATTGAAAAAGAGAATTCATGTGGCCGAGCCCATTCATATAGGATTAAGGCATGAATGATGTAGATGATAATGATATCCCTTTGTGACTCCTTTCTTTTCAAAGGCCCTCAAGTACCTTATAAGAGGTTTTTCCTAAATCAATATAACCGTATGAAGATCTTTCTTTCTCCATATATCTTTGCATTGTTTCCTTAATAAAATCTATGAAGTCCTCCAAAGATTTAAAATGCCATCCTTTAACCCAAAATAATAAAGAACTTAAACTGGAATGTCGGGTGTAAAGCCCACCCAAAAAAAGCCACTGTAAGTGGGCTTTTGTGTGTCAAATTGCTTTCTAAGAAAAAATAGGTCTCGCAAGCAACCAATCTTTGATAGAAGGAACGCATCTCAAATCTCCCATGGCTAGAAGCCACCCAACTCCACTCATCAAGCCCCTCCCCAACCACATTTCTTGATAAGTAAATAGTCTCCATCACTGACTTCTCGGATATAAATTCAAATTGATTTACTGACATCATCTCTATCATAATGCAATAATTCTTTAATGTTGTATTAGCTTGCTTCTTTTGCTTTTACTGTTGTACAACACTTTCTCCTCTGTCTTTCGATCTGCCATCTTCCTTACCAAATTTCATAGGCTTTTCTTGCATAAATTGATGTGAAATTAAGGTATTCAAAATTCCCATCACAAATCTGTAGGAGTTTTGGATCTAGAGCTCTAAGAAAGAAGATGGAGTAGGAAGAGTAAGCAGAGAGATATTTTAATAGGATCCTAAATAGAATCTATCCGTGGGTTCCAAATATCTCCCTTTGTTATCTGGAATCCATCCACATCGTTGTTAATTTATATCCACATATGTGGATTCCAAATAATTCTAAATTTAAGGTACACTGATCGATTATTGAACTCAGATCCAGTCATTTCTACATTATCTATCCAAAATGAGTCTTATTCTTTACTTCAATGGCCATTGTCTTGATGCTGGTTTTGTCGATGGTACTAACCATGAAGACCTACAGTTTTGTGTAGATGTACTCCTGTACTCCAGTAATATACTTTGTGGGGACATCATTAATATATACAGATCCCCAGCACAGTGGCCTTTTTGTGAAGCTTAGTGGTTATGGATGGCGTTCACCACATGAATTCTCTTTTTCCATTTTTTTTTATTGTATACCATGTTCTCTTAAATTTAATTTCTTAAAATTCGTTTTAAATTACTTCCTCCCATGTAAGTTTTGGTTGGCGCCTTTGACGCTTACCTTCTAGCCAAACAACTCTTCCTCTTCTAACCGGTGCATCATCAAGTCTATGATGAATGCGACGATACCACCTAAGTCTACTTTTTCTAATTTTATTGTTTATAGGCACTGTACCAAGTGTTCCCCTCACCCGCATATTATCAATCTTTTCTTTTTTAGTTATTCTACTTATTCAAATCATCCAACATAGCATCCCCATTTTCACAATATGTATGCGTTGTTCTTGTGTCTTTTTCTATGCCCAGAACTCCACTCCATACAATATAGCTGGTCTAATAACTGTTCGATAGAATTTCCCTCCTAATTTATTTGGTATTCTTTTGTCACAAACTATACCACGCTTTTCTCAATTTTGACCCCTACTCCAATTCTACTCACTACATCACCATCTAATCATCTTTCTCCCCATCTCTTTGTAGTATTGATCCTAAGTAACAGAAATAATTATTTTGAGTAACTCTTTGATCCTCGATTGTAGTATCTATAATGTCATCATTTGTTAGTTTATCAAATTTACATTCTTTATATTCTGTTTTAGTTTACTAATTTTTAAGCCTTTTGCTTCTAAAGTCTTTCTCCATGTTTCTATTTTTGTTGCTAAAGCTTCCTAGAAGTATCTACTAGAACTATAGTCATGGTTGTATTCTTGAATTAAGAGAGGTAGAACAAGGAGAATTCCAAGTGGGAGGGGGCGAAGCATCCTTCAAGCCTCTGAATCATGCGCCTAAAGCACTAAAATCCTTATTTTCTAACCAAAGCAGATCAAAAGGCTTTAAAAAAAATATATATATGCTGTAGGATCTAAAACAGGGAATAAACCACTGAAATCACCTCTCTAAACAGACTACCACCATCAAAATTGTCATGTGAATTTCTAATTGCAAAATACTTCTTTTTATTTTTTTTATTTTTTTATTTTTTTTGAAGAACAAAAAAACAAAGAAAAGAAAAAAAAGATAAACTCCCACTGAATTAAATACTCCAAAAATCTTAATCCCAATCATAGACTTTCTAGATCAAAAATTTTATTTTATGTAGCATGGGTATTGTAACGAATTAGTATCATGTCAGGTATTGGATGCTATTATACCTGTGATAGTGCCCAAGGCTCACACCATTTTAAGTTTGGCTCTTCCATGGTAAATCTGTGTGGTAAATCTGTAGCCAATATCATCCATTGATTGATAGTTGCTTTATGAGAGCAAGAGAAATAATGCATTGAACTGCAACATTCATAGTGGTCTACCTAACAAATGCCACCATGCTGGCATTAGTAATGTGCTATACACATGCTCCTCACTTTCTCATATATACGTGTGCGTGTGTGTGTATACTTTTTGTAATAATGCATGTGCTTCTCATTGTACAATTGTCTGTCTACGCTTGGTTTCCTCAAGCCAGTCATCAATTCAAAGGAAGCAGGACTTGTGGAGTTTTGAATGAGCTGTAAAAGTTCAAATGATCTCAAACTAATGTTTTACCTGTTTTTCTATCAACTAGTAACTAACCAGGGTATGTATCGAACAATACAAACTTAAAACCAGACGTGTTAGCCTAATAAAATAGATTCCAAATGCTAAATGATATTTTTGAGAATGCTTCTTTTTTTTTTTTTTTTAGTTGAAGCTATTGTGTGTATGTACACAAGTATTCTATATTTTGTGCATGCAACAGTCTGCTCCAGACTAGCAGACCCAAATCCTGCTCGGCATGCTTGTTAACATTCTGTAAGACGTAATTTATACATTTTGTGTGTAGTTTTTTTATTAATACTTGCATAGACATATTAGTTCATATGAGATGTACATCTATTTACTACCTTTTCTGCATCAACTCTTAAAAGGAGAGTGAGGGAAATGGAAAAACTGTATGAGAACTTGTTTTTCTTAATGCTATTAGCTCCTTTTCTTTTCCTTTTCTTTTCTGTATATTTTATCTCAACATGCCCAAATTCTTAGATTCTGTGTCTTTTGCAGGATTATGTGCCAGAAAACCTCGAAAGTGTGGCGGAGTTTGAGGCCCCACCATCACCGGACTCCAGCTACGGTCAAACTTTCCCAGGGGATGAAGACTTTGCGAAGGATCCAGTGGTAGTTCCACCCCAGCTCCATCTAACTGTCCTAGGTATGGATAACTCCGATGAAGCTGCTGCTGCTGCTGCTCCTCCTCCTCCTCCTTCTTCAAAACCCCAACATGTTGTGCTAAATCATGTTTTCATAGAGAAAGGATGGGCATCTCAGTCTGTGGTTGCTCTGGGTTTGACTCATAGGTACCAGTCGAAGTATGTAACAGTTGTCCTCTATAAGCCGCTCAAAAGGTGAACCTTTTTTTTTTTCTTTAATTTTTTCTCTAATGCATTGTTAAAAACACTGTAAAGGATGAAAGATGTTTTCATAATTGCTTAGTGAAGGCACAGTTGTGAATAGAGCTGCTTTTAGGTTTTGGCTGTTTCTTCTGAATTTCAAGTATTTTGATGGCGGGAAATATTTGCCTTTTGTGTGTGTGTTTTCTAGTGTTATGTGTTGCCTTTTACAGTTTATCTTTTATTTTTAGATCAAGGTTATGAATTTGTTTGAACAGAAATGATTGAACTATATATATACATATACAAAATATGTGGAGAAATGTGACAAGGACCATCAAGCTTTGAAAGATGATTCCCTTCCCTGTCTATAGGTGGGAGGACTATATCTAATGGGCTGCTGTTGCTTTCAAAGGGAATTCTTTGTTCAGCTATTTATATTTTAGTATTTGTTTATTTATTTATGATAAAAACAACATAGGGAATTGAAGAATTGCTGATGTTCTTGAAAACATTTTCCCAAAAAAATAATCTCAGGGCAAATCTTACCACCAGACGTATTGTTTTGAGTTAAGATGCTTTTAACAAACTTTTGTCAAGGTTCCAAAATTACACAAATTTACAAACCAAGACTATAGATTAGAACCAATAGTCTTGTCTTCAATAAGATCGTTTTTCAAGACTTGTATCCTTTTCCTTTGTTTCCTTTGTCATTGATTCATTATGTACTTGAGTTTTAAATAAATGACCAGAATAACACATACTCAAGTAAACAATTGGTACTTACACTTTCAATTGTTTGTTACCATCAAAATTACCCAATATCTTTGGGAACTTGGGGTCAACAACTTTATTTTATGATGTTTCACTTTACACAAATATGACTGCTAAATTGAGATTTTTATGTTTTTTCTAAATGAATGGAATATTTTATTATAAATATTACAGGAAGAGGATAGACCTCAAATACCTTCCCATCCTAGAAAGAAAGGGAAAAACACTGGGGTCATGCCCTAAAAAACAATATAAATTGAGATAATATTTGTCATATCTATTTTTAAACAATGGTGTAAACATGGCAATCCCTTTTTCATTTTTTTCTTTTTTTTAAAAAATTATTATAAAATATAGTAAGAAATACAGTAATATTTAAAGAGAAATAAGAAAAACATTATAATTTAAATGCCATTCATGTATTAAAAAAAAAAGTAATAAATAAAAAAACTGATTTTTTAATTTTATTTAAGTTCAAAAAATGATGATATATATATATATATCTATATATATATATATATATCTATATAGAGTCACACACACATTCCTATGGTTCTATTGAACACTTGACCTTCAATGGAAAAGTATATATATAAACACACACCACTGGCTTGTACTTATGAACATTTTTTTATATAGTTAAATGGAAATATAGTAAGAAACAAAGTTTGAGAAAATAAGGAAAAATAATAATTTAAATTTCGTTCTTTTAAAAATAAAGGAACAAAATATTTGCATATAACCCCTTGCACAATCCTTTTTTTTTTTTTTTAACATTTTACCCCTCCAAGGAGTAAAATAATCATTATTTGAAAAAATTTCAGTTTTTAACAGCTACATGACAACTGAAAATTAGTTGTAATGATTATCTATCTATAGTAGGAGGAGGTTAGGTCTGAAAAATTTAGTGTAGATAGATTAAGTGGACAAAAATAAATAGTACAAATTTATGAAAAAAAAAAAAAAAGTACAAAGTTTGGAATTCAGTGATTATGCACAACGAAATTGGCCAATTTAAACAGACAAAAAATTTCTTTGAACCAATCGAAGGTTTACATACGAAGTAAAAGGTTTTGGTATGAAGTATGTAATACACGTTGGTGGCACATTGTTATCGTATGCTTTGTATTGTCCGACTTGTAGTCCTTGTTCATTTGGGTTTTTTTTTACAATATATATATATATATATATATATACATATAATAAAGCACATAAATCTCCACGTGCGTATATAATATAAAAAATACTTTATATATAACTTTTTTTTTAATATGAAATTAGTATAGAGTTGTTGTCAGTGATGGTGACATGGAAATTTGAAGCCACTACATAATTGAACAAGAAATCAAGAATGGTTTTTTCACCAGAAGGAACACGAGAGATTATAATAGTAAATGAGGGATTTTATTTTTTATTTTTTTATTAATTAATACGACAACTAACAATGCAGCGAGACAAAAAGTTAAAAACAATAGATATGGAGTACAAGTTTAGTGCTCATTTTTTAAATAGTATTTTTAAGATTGATGAATTTTATTTTTATTATATTAATAATGAATGAATTATCAAATTTACTTTTTGTAGGTCCCACAATAATATGATGATTTACTTCTTTCTATAGCTTCAATGTAAGAAAAATTAAATTAGTAATATTACAAAAAAAATAGTATATTAATTTTTCAAATGGGATAATTAGTTAGGGACCGATAAAATTAAAAGGTAAGCACATATTTTGAGATGGAAGTAGTATGACATTATTTGCAAAATTGCAGTAAAGAAAAAATTGGAAATATAAATATGAAAAATAAGTTTATAAAATTACAGTATTAAAATTTGGGGGGGTGGGGGGGAATTAAAAAATAGTATTTCTTAACAAGGATCCTCTCCGGCCACGAAGATAGCGGAAGAAAATCCTATAGTTAAAATTGAAATGATAGATAAGACTCATCAAAATCTTACGGTGAAAATTGAATCACTAAGTAAGATCCATTAATAATAATTAACTCTCATCAAATAATGATGTACTCGTCCTTTAATGAAGTGCATGCCCTTTTCGAGTGCTAGGGTAAGTGTGTGTTGTGTGTGTGTGTGTATATATTAGAAAGGAATAAAATAAATTTAAAGTAGATGAATAGTAAAAGAGAAAAGAAAGGAACAATCAAATAGATGCTTAAAAAGGGAATATTTTAAGGGGCATTTGATTTTTGGGTGGGTCGGGGTTGTTCTTGATTTATTATTGTTATTATTATTTGTCTCTCCTTTTTTTTTTTTTTTTTTTTTTTTTTTGTTTTTCCTTCACATTTTAGTAGTTAAAAAAAAAAAAAATGAATCTTTTGTCGCAGGATACATTTTTTTTTAGGTAGAAGTGCAAAAAACACTCTGAAGTTTCACTAAGTGAGCATAATATACGTCCTGTGGTATAAAAGTGAGCAAGTTAGTATTTACCACATTACCCCCCATAACTAACTTTTTTAATAATAATAAAAATAAAAAATAAAAAGCAAATTATCTTAAATGCCCTCCATAATAAACTAAGGTATTGTATAGCCCTAAATTGACTTGAGTGTTGTAACTCCTCATATGGGTCTCTGGTTTATGTGAACTCGTGAATGGGTTTCCTACTGCTTTTTTTCTACAGAATTGAAGAACATGTATCCATTAATTTTTTTCTCATCTGTAATTTTTTTTTTTTTTTTTTTTGTAACACTTCCTCATTTGTATTCATGGCTTAGTTCAGTAGAGAGCGAAAAGAAGAAAAATCATTCAAAGCACAAAATTAACTAGCAACTTATTGAAGTTTCAAGCAAATGAAATCATTGAAAGCTATTGTAAGGTGATAAATGAGGAAGGCTTTGAGGCATAAAAAGGATTTACAATCCCACATTTCAAATCATATGTAAGAGGGGTTTTGACTACGTACCTTTCATGATTGTATTATATCCTCGACTATATTGTATTACATTACAGACCATTAATTTGATATAGTATAGTTTTCAAAACTCTTCTAATAAGTAGAAAAGATAGAAGTGAAAGAAATACGCATGAACAAACACACACACATATACATAAATGGTCTAACAATGATTTATATATATATTGCAACTTACTATAATCAAATACATACATATATATATATATATATATATATATATATATATATATATATATATATAAATGTTTAAATGAACCGACTTTGGAGGAATATCATAGAGAGCAGATGTAAATGGAAAGGATATGGCAAAAAAATAGGTTCGATTGGAATAAATGTAAAAGCCTTTTTCTAAGAAGATGGGGTATAATAGTCATATTGGAGGAGGGTACTTTTGGAGTTAATAAAAAAATATCAATCATGTTCATCACAACATGGAAAGAAAGTGGCTGGAGGTAAAATGTAATGGCACAAATTGTTTACTTTTGAAACTATAGGGACTGACTTGCTCACTTTTATACCATAGAAGATATTGTGCTCACTTGGTGAAATTTTAGGATTTTTTTTGTTGCACTTTTGCCTATTTTTTAAAGTAATTGATATTAATTCATGGGTTCTTAGTGCACGTCCAATAATTAATTTTTAAACTTTGCATTTCGATATGAATTTTAAACTATATACTTTTTCAATAATTGTATTAGTTACCATAAAATCGACCTCACCCTAGCATTACTCTCCTTGAAACAAAATTAAGAGTCTTGTTGTCAAGTGAGAAATACAAGAATGTAGAATTGGGGCTGTGGCCTCTGGTGCTCGCAAATACGACGTATGTTTTTTTGAATTCTTTAATGTATTATATTTAAAAAGTTCATTGTTTTGTAAATAAGCTGACTATACCATAATTAAATAATAAAAAACAGTAAAATAACTCCAAACGAGACTTTAATGGCTAAAAAATAATAAATTAATATCACATGTGAATAAAATAATAATAAATTAATTACAAGTTGATAGTATAATTAAATTAAATAATACAAGTTGCGAGTGTAATAATAATTAGTAAAGTACTTGATGGGACGGTAAACAGTAAACTCCCGAATTTCTATCTCTGTTTTTTTGCCCTCACTACAACAATTATAGTTTTCACCAGCGTTTGGAAACGTTGGGGGAAGTTAAAAAAAAGAACTGGTAATTGAATTATAAGCATTTTCCTAACTGTCATACCTGTTTATCGGTGTTTCTTGTGTCTTTAGGTCTTTACCAATGCTCCTTCAACACTAAGATTAAGGGTTTAAGTCATTATCAGCGTTTATTTATGAGCGATGGAACTAAGTGATTACTAGCACTCGTCAAAAAGCGCCTGTAAAATGCTGGAATTAAATTGTTATCAACGCTGGTCAAAAAGCGTTAGTATTTAGTCAATACCATCGCGAACTTATTAAACACTGGAATTTAGTCATTACCAGCGTTTAGTAAGGAGCTTTGGAATTAAGTCATTACCAGTGAT